AAAAAGAGAAGAAGAAGAAGAAGAAGAAAGATAGAAGGGGATGAAAGGACTTGAGAAAGATTTTAAGGTAAAAAATTTTGCTACAAAAGAAATTTGATATGAAATGAATCGCGAAAGCTAAATTGAGATGAAAATTTAATACCAAAATGAATTGCGAAAGCTAAATTTCAGATGAAAATTTAAGATGAAAATTAAAACCAAAATTTGAGATGAAAATTTAATACCAAAATGAATCGCGAAAGCTAAATTGCTATGAAAATTTAAGAAACATGAATATCAAGTCGATTATCAAATTGTCACAGAGAAGTTGTCAAATGCTAAAACGATCGTCGGTGGGTGACAATTTAACCGCTATTAGTGTGACTGTGGGAGAGAACAAAGTTATCATTTTCTTTTCAAGAAACGTAATGAAGTTGAGAAATAGAAGATGAAAGCAAGTCATACATGGGGGGCTTTGAGTAAGTTGACTAAAAATAAGTGGGTTAAAATAATATAATTAAATAGACTAAAAAATTAAATAGAATATACATGGGGGCTTTGAGTAAATGGACTAAAAATAAGTGGGCTTAAATAATATAATTAAATTGACTAAAAAATTAAATAGAATATATATATATATATATATATATATATATATATATATATATATATATATATATATATATATATATATATAATAGAAAAAAATTTGAAAGTGAGGGGGGGGCATGAGTCCACCCTAGCCCTTGGGTGGACTCGCCCCTGGGTGGTGGTGACAGGGGGTGTTTACGGGTGAATGTGGTACAGAGTTGGATTACGGGGTGGCGATCGTAGGGTACGAGACAACACTTGATAGCACAAAATACTGGATAGTTAAAAACTCATGGGGAGTGGAGTGGGGGAGGATGGTTATATCAGGATTAAACGTGGGATTGACGTGAACGAGGGATTATGTGGGATAGCAATGGATGCGTCTTATCCTATCAAACACTCCTTCTCCTCCAAGGATGAAGTCTGACTCATACTACTACTAGATCGGCCTTGAATAATTTAACAATCCCTCTCTTTATTTTTACTAGAAAAATGCACGTGCATTGCACGTGTCTTATTAAATTTCCAATTCATTCTAAATTTTGTATTGTATGGAAATAATGTTATATATGCAGAATGTGTAAATATGTTGTTCCATTGAATTTTTTGTCCGTATTAGAATCAAATTTTATTTATTATTAAATTAATATAGAAATTCCTACTTATTTTCTATCTTACAAATAAGTTTTGTTCCTTTTTTTGTGTTATTTTATTTTATTTTAGATAACATTGTTTTGCGCCTTTCTTTGCCATGATGTCCATTATTTCTCAATAGAAAAAGTATATTTTTGGTCCCTCGTGTTTATCATTGAAATACTTTTGGTCCCAGTTGCTAAAAGAACATTTTTGGTCCCTCCGTTTACCACATTATGACACATTCGGTCCTCTCTTTTTGTAGGTTGTTAGTAGTTAACGGAATTTGACGGGATAATTACATTTTCCGTCCCTATACTTTACCACTTATTCGATTTCCGCCCCTAAACAAGATGAAGTTACATTATACGTCCCTAAACATGCCATTTTTCTGTTGTTTTAGTCCCATCCGTCCATTTGACTGGTTAGTTTGGACGGAAAACAACACGTGAGTTGCACGTGATACACAAAAGTCACCCCCTTCTCTTTAGTAAACATCTGCATATTCAGAACAAAATCATAAATTTCTCAATTTCTCTTCAAAGCCCTGAACCCCCTTTCGAAATCTCTAATTTCCTCACGAATTTACCTCATAAATCTCCTCAGCAAATCTTAAAAGCAAAATTAGAAATTGTGCGCTTCAAATTTCAAAGGTTCTTCATTAGGATTAGCTAACTGAGCACCTAAGGTAGCGGATTGAAAGTAGGCTTCTTTCTCTCTTTATCTATCCTAACTTTACAATCTTGAATCACAATGTATGGAGTTTTGTTTCTACATTGACGAATCCAGTCAGAAGGATGGGTCAAAAAAATAACTGTAGCTACGGATCAACGTCTTTAGTTATAAGTGAAGCATGGTATTGTAAATGTGAAATTGAGTTGCCATTGATGAGCTCATGGAATCCTAGCAACCTTGGGATAAGATATCGTTGTGTCAAAACTACATCAATTGGGCCGGGGTTATAGATTTTCAGTACTTTATGGGGTAAATTATAATTTTTAACTTTTTGTTTTTTAGTTTATTATTATTTTTTTGATATTATTTCATACTGTTGCATTTCTTTTGGTTTAGCAGAAAGTTACATGTTGTGGTGTATTCAAATGGTATGATCCTGAAATATGTGATAGAAATAACATTATCTGTGGGTTTATGAGAAATGCCAACAAATTGGAAGATGAATCTGTTAGTTACTAAGGAATGAGGACTTAATTGAAAAGGAGAAGAGTGAGGTCCAGTGAAAGGAAAAAAAAAAGAAATTGAAGACTTGAATTGCATTGTACAACAAGAGAATGAAGTTGCATGCAGAAAGTTCTTTTGGTTTTGTTTGGTTGTTTGATTTATTGCACATGATTGAAACAACAAGTAAAGTTGGATGCATGATTTTGGATTTGGAAAAGGGGCATAGGGATTTCAAGAAAAAAAAAATAGGAAAAATTACTTTCACGTACAATATACAGCCGTTTATTAATGAGGAGGGGGTGACAACTGTATCACGTGTGATTCACGTGTTGTTTTCCGTCCAAACTAACTAGCCAAATAGACGGAGGGACTAAACAACAAAAAATGGCATGTTTAGGGACATATAATGTAACTTCATCTTGTTTAGGGCCGAAAATCGAATAAGTTGTAAAGTATAGGGACAAAAAGTGTAATTTTCCCGAATATGACCATAAATTAAAGGACAGAAAAAATATACTTTTGTCCCTCATATTCATAATTAAAATATAGGACAAATTACGGCCACCCCCTGATGTATGGTCAAATTACGAAAAAACCTCTCTTGTTTGGATAATTACAGCCACCCCCTTTTAAATATTTTTACGTAAAATTTATGTAATTCGGTTATTTACTGAACCAAATCATATATTCAGTTCGGTAAACGGTATGAAATGTTGGCGTACCGAAATTTTGGTCCGGTTTTACTAAATTGGCATCCCTAAATTTACCTCTGGAGGGGTCTTTTCGTAAGATAAATACATAGTTGATGGGGGTGGCCGTAATTACCCTAACAGGAGGGGGGTTTTCGTAATTTGACCATAGCTCAGGGGGTTGGCCGTAATTTGCCCATTAAAATATATTTGGTCTCTCTTGTTCTAAAAAAAACACTTTCAGTCCATTGATGATTTTGCCTTAATTTGATGAAATGGGGCGCGCACGTGCCCAACATATGTGAAGCTATGTTATCCATTAATGCGTAATTGATCGAGATAACCAAGAACGTAGTAATATGGTAACTTAAGGGATTGAAACGTGTCTTTTGTGAATATGGGGACCAAACACGAAGTTGTGACTAATATAAGGGACAAAGTTGTACTTATCTCGTTTCTCATATTTAATATTTGTAAAACGGGAAAAAAATATAGTTTTCATCCCTCAAGTTTACACCGATTTCATATTTGGTCCCCCATGTTCACAAAAAAAAAAAAAAAAAAAAAAAAACACATTTGAAATAGACTACTTATAATTAAATTTTTAATAATATTAAGTATAATGAAATTTATTTAGTTAATTTCTTTTTTTATTATTAAAAAAATAATCAAAAGTAGTATAATGAAATCTAATATTAAGTATAATGCACAATAATTTATTTAGTTAATTTATTTTTTATTATTACAAAAATAATTATTAGTAGTATAATTATAAATGACTTGTTTAGCTAATTTCTTTTTTTATTATTGATTTTTTTATTATAAGTAGTATAATTAAAAATACTATTTAAGTATAATTAAAAATAATTTGTTTAGTTAATTTTTTTTATATTAATTCTTTTATCATAAGTACTATAATTAAAAATAATATGAAGTATGATTAAAATAATTTGTTTAATTAATTTTTTTTTATTATTAAAAAATTAATGATAAGTAGTATAATTATAGGGATTATTTTGGAGACCCCTAATTTCCAAATTATATCTAACTAACTACTATGCGGATTCCACCCTATGGCTAACCCCCCTCATTTCGAAAATAATTTGACAGAGCCCCCTGGGCATACATGAAATACCTAAACTGCCCTTAGTAGCCGTTTTCCTAAACGTGGACGTTGCCATGTATATGTGATCCCAGCGTTTTAATTCCCTGTGAATACGGAAAACGTGTGACGTATCAAGGAAACTGATTTTTCTTCGGGATTTCTTGCGATATTTGTTTTGTTTCAAACCTTTCGATTTTCGTATTCGGTGTAATTTGAGGATCTCTGTATCATTCATTTTCGAATACGCTAACGTCGTCTCTGTAAGTGTTTTTTAAATTTTAACATCTCAAATTAATTGTCGACGAATAATTATGTATTATGTAAATTGTTAATAATTTTTGTAGATCTTGTGTTTTTGTTTTGTTTTTTTGTCTTTAAATGTGTTTATGGAGTGATCTTGTGTTGATGTATTCTCTGGTTTTGTGTTTTTCATTTGGTAGTTACATGTAGTAATGTTTATCAGATTTTACGTATGTAGAGTTCGTTGGCAATGTGTATCGATATGTAAGATATATTTGTAAGACCAGTTATGATTTAGTACTAGTTTTATATGATTTTGTTGGTTTTTGTGTTAGATGTGGTGTGTAGGAGTTCATGCAGTGTGTTCGCGTTTATGTTGTTACAGTCTGAGTAGTTTTACATAGTTAGGTTGACAATTTTTTCAATTGTTTAAGAGTGCCGTCTCAATATGTCGTCATGTGTGACTCTCGTTCTGAAATTTGATGGTGTTTTGGGGTTAAAAATTGTGCTGGGAATTTTAATTTGAAGAGTTAATTGGATTTGTGAGCACTAAGTTTAATGGACTGCAGCGTAACAACGTGGTTATGTCGTACAATATACCCGGTGTCGGTGAGGGTGTGTTGGGTGACGACGATGATGTTTTGTTCATGTTGTCTTCTATGCGGGAACTGTCAATTAGTCGGATTGATGTAGTTATAAAAAGAGAGTGGGTGATAGTCGGGGGTTAGTTGGGTTGGCTCCGGTGTTACCTAATACGTATGAACCGAAATTCGGTCGAGGTGTTTGGAGTGATAATCCATGTAGTTTGGTGACAGCAGGCCCCCCGCAGCTAATGACTGCTAGTTGGGCAAATCTTATTACAGATGTTGGGGAAGTGTTTGAAGATGGTGCGAAGGATTTTAGGAAGGCGTTATGTCTTTATGCTATTGAGATGGGTTTTGAATTCCAGTATGTGAAGAACAAGCGTGTTAAGGTCACTGCAGTTTGTAAAGATAGGGATGTGAAGGACTGTATGTGGAGGATTCATGCATCGATTGAGCACGCCAATGGCTTCTTTTATATTAGAAGATATGTCAAGCATCACACATGTGGTTGTGGATTTCCTACGTCTAGTAAGAAGAGGTTGACGTTCGATATAATTGCTGAGTTGATGATGAGCGAACTCAGATCTAAGCCTGAGTGGGTGGCCAACGATGTGGTTGTCCATGCGAAGCTTCATTTTTGTATTGATATCAGCTACTATGTTTGTTGGAGGACCATTCAGGCTTCTAAGGAACACATTTTCGGTGATTACACAACATCTTATTCGTATCTGCCATCCTATTTTGATGAACTCGGCAGGACCAATCCTAAAAGTGCATATCATCTGGATATCGATCAAGCAACGAATAGGTTTCGACGATGTTTTTTTGCTGTGGGTGCTTGTTTAATGGGTTTTAAGTCATGTCGGCCAGTGTTGTCCGTCGATGGTACGTTCTTGAAGGAGAAACATAGGGGGATTTTGCTTGTTACAGTCGGGAAGGATGGTCAAAATGGTGAGTGATCAATGGAATGTTGTTTACATAACTGTATATTACTACACAATGGTTCATTTTTTAATTTTTTTTTTTTTTTTTCAACATTATTCCATGTAGTTTTTGCTGTTGTGAATTACGAGACTGATTGTAATTGGGCATATTTTTTTGAACACCTGAAGGCAGCAATTGGGACAGAACGTACGTTGACATTCTTCTCGGACCGGAACAGCGGAATATTGATAGGAGTGAAGAATATTTTTCCAGACTGTTTCCATTCATTTTGTGTTTATCATATCCAAAAGAATCTTATGAACAATTTTCGGGGTAGTACGACCACTTTTCGTAAGGCGATATCTTTCCAATTTAATGTGTGTGTTTACGCAGCTACCAGAGAAGAATTCGACCAGAATATGGAATTGTTTAGGAAGAACGGTGGACCTAGGGTTGCTAACTTTTTATGTAATTTACCACCTGAAATTGGGCTCATGCTTATTTTGGTGGCAGGAGATATGGGCAGGTTGCGTCTAGTGGTGCAGAGTCGTGGAATTCAAGCATATCCGATGTTCGTGGACTGCCGATAACAAATATGATTGATGGCATCAGAAGCAAAATGATGGTTGACATGTTTTTTGCCAGTAATGATGCTTCGAAATGGACATCTGTGTTGTGCAAATCAGTCCAAGATAAGATTGACGGTCTAGTTCAGGATGTTAGAGTGATCACTGCTGGTCAAGAGTCTGCAGATTCCCAATCGTGCTCGCCCGTCTCTTCATCTTCCAGGCAGTAGTCTGAAGACGATTCAGCAGCAGATGGTGGCGGTGGAGAATCTGGTGGGGGTGTCGTGGATACACACGGCGGCTTTGGTGGGTCGGGGAGGAAGAGGCAGAAAGAACATATGTTGGTGTTCATTGTTTCGTGGTGAATCAATGTGTGCTCACCCATTTTGCACTTGCGGTGCAGCTCCTGACCCCCATCCGGCCCGTTAATAAGGTTGTATGCAGTCTCCTCTGGGTATGTGTGGTTTCCATGTTTGAGAATGAACTCCATCTCCCACCACATTCTTTCCATTGCTACATCGAGAATCGCAGACATGTTTTTTTTTTTTTGTACTGTTGTTATGCGGTAGGGGGGTTGTGTGCTTTATGTATATGTTAGAACTTGTGTATAGGGGTGGCTGTTATATAAAGCGAATGGCAGTGGTACTGGATTTGGTGGGACTCGAAAGGTTGCATTGAATGATCATTTTTCGTAACACGGGCGACTGTTGGCAGTCAGTCACCCATATTTGAAATTCAAATTTTTTCGAGGGGCGAGCGTTCGGGTGGTCAAGGCGGGAACTCAGTTGTTATATGTAGTTATGTGTAGTGAATTGTAGCATTCTTTGTTCATTCATGTATAGTATCATGCAGAACAATTTCAGACGTAAGTTAATTATTAATTTGGATAACATCCAATAGAATTGCATTACGCTATAATCACATTAATGCATGCAAAATAGAACCATATGGCATATGTTTGAATTACACCAAAAAATAAAGTTGTCCAAAAACATAGTTAAAGTACTAATGTGGCAAAACACAAATAATAGCATAAAAAAATGCGTAGACGCATTAGTTACATTGTTTTTTTTTTCCAGTTAATGCATAGTTATCACTTCAACCTGTAATGTAAGAACGCCTCGACGATCTTTCTCCTTATATTGTTCATGCCTTCAACAGGATCTGGAATTATGAGTGGTAGTTGGGCGAACAATTCTCTAATAATGTAGAGAACTATCACCCCGCAGTCCTTTGAATCTGGGTCCTGTTGCGGGGAGTCAGCAATGTCGAACAGACCGGTGCGGAGAGGGATGTCATTGATTTTTTGTGCACATGTGGACTTCTCTACGTATTTTTTATGATTAACAGGGAGAATATTGAACAAAAAACCTAATGAGTTTGATTGTATTTGTCAATATGTCAATGGTAAGTTAAATTAGTACCGTACCATGTCTTTTGCATCCGTTATGTACACATCTTTTGCGTTCGGTGTCTGAGGTCTGTAGGAGTTGTAGAATCGCCATTCTTTGTGAAGCTTGTCTAGTATCATCAGTGTCCAATGGTTCCCTCCAGATTTTGGGTTTCCCATTGAGTGCAGTGGGAATGCCAAATACCGATGATCTGATTGCACTGCTGGTATCGTGAACGTTGTGTCTTTTGACTCACGGAGGTTGGTCTGTTAAAGTGAGGATATGTCATTAACGTTAAGTGCAATGAAGTATATATTATATTTCAGTGGCATGAAAATATTACCAGTAGCATTGATGGGAAGACCATTGTTGTGCCCTTTAGTAAATCGCCCAGTCTTTCAATAGCGAACACACCTTGACTTTGTTGGGCTTCCAAGATTTTGCAGTAGGAGCCCATTACCTGTTTCGTTCGTAGATGATATTAAATTCGTGTATGTGTATGAATTTTTGTTTAAGTATGAATACTTACACCACTTGCAATTTCCTCTCCTTTTATCAGATGAAAGATGTTAGACATGATGACTTGATCGGTTCCACGTTGATTCTTCCAGCATGCAATGCTGTAAACCATAGATTGTTTCATGTTAGCTATAGTAATATACAATTATGTGCAGTTAGATATAGATACATTAATATTCTTATAACTCTTGATGCATGAACGCATCAGCGATAAGGTCCACCCGTATTCTGTCATCCTCCTCCATGTCTGTGTAAACCTTTAACATCTTGTATGAGTTGTCCCGTTTGAACTTTTTCACGCTTCGTGGGGTCACATTTGGTTTGCGTGACCTTGTCCTCTTACCAACAGCAGATTTTGGATCCAACTTTCTGGCTGCAACGTCTTCTTCCCGTATTTCAAAGGCGTTATATGACTGATGCCCGGAGCCAACCTTCTGGTCTAGTGCTTGTGCAAATGCGGCAACATTGGCCTCAAGTTCTGCTATTTTTAAATCTTTTCCGTCGATGGCTGCCTTCATTTTCTTCTCATTGCCCTTCAGTATTTGCATTTCTGCTTGTAATTCAGTTATACGAAAGCCTGACTCCGAAAGGGGGGGAAGATTGTAGCCTGGATTTGCTGTTTGATCGAAGTTATCCTGCTCGGCAGCAGACTCGCTGTATTGTTCTGTAGGTTCTGATTTGTTTGTTTTATCTTTTTTTCGAGACGCGGGTTGATTCTGTGTCATGATGGAAAAAATCGGACCATCATACTCGTCTATTGTCTTGTACAAATCATCTTCCTGCTCTTTCTTCAGACGGGCTTCCAGAGCGCCTTCTCATCTTCGAGAACCCGTATTGAGTTCTTCAGCATTGTAACCTCCAAGTGTAGGTCATCGTTCTCTTCCTTCTGGCTCTTCATTGAATGCATGTGTTGTTGCATGGTTGATATTTTACCCTCCATTGTCCTCAATTTGCTTGCCTCTTGATCCAGTTTTTGTTTGAGATCTACAAGCTCGGCTACAAGTCCTTTGTTTTTGTCTTCGAGTGTTGCATTGGTTGTTGTCAACATTTCAGCTTCATCTGTTGCAATCATCGTTGACATTTCGGACTGCAGATCTGCAATATGCTGTTTGTAACGGTTTTCCTTTTCGATATATTTGGCGATTTCCTCTCACAGTGATGCGTAAGTGCTGTCATGCCTGCTTGATGTCCCCTGATGTTGGCTGTCCACGGTTTCCTTTGTTTTCTGCTCTGCCAGACTACAATGGGGACATTGTCTTTAATTTCTTCATCGGTAGAGTTGTCCGGATCATCTTCGTTGCTGCTGTATTCGATGATTATGTGACCATTTAATAGAGCCTCTTCGCGGTTTGTTCCAACGATCTTGTTCGTGCAGATGGCTGATGATGTTATTGATGCAATTGCATTAATGGACAATAACTTTGCTACGTCTGTTAGGTTCCACCTTAGGAACTTGGGAATGCGTTTGGTGTCGTCCACACTATCAGATTACTTCACTCGCATAGCCAGTACTGCAGACATTTTTCAGGGAATAATTGTTAGTTGCTACAACAGAAACATCTCATTTTTGCATGAACATAACTATATATAACTACTTATATCTACATATAACTATGATTTGTAATATGTTGTAGGCAGAATAATTACCAACAGTAATGGCGTGCAACCCGTCACCTTATGAGCTGTGGATGATCTCACATGATCTAATAAAAAATATGTAATCCATCGTGCCCAGTTGTACCTTCCCATGTTCGCTATGCTAGCACAATACTTGAACATCCACCAAGCAACGATGCTTGGGGATGAGTTGAAGAAGCAGCTGCTCATTAGGTGGAGTACTATCAACTTGATCACGTCATCGGTGTCCTCTTGATCCCTAACGATGCCATCAGTTGAGTTTTGACATCCGAAAATGTCACTTGACTATGATTATGGAATCTTCTATGCACGAGGCCGTCATTTGGCCATTGGGATCTGTCAAAACGCATTCGTACCAACCCAGACTTTATACCAAAAATCAATTCACATTCTTCTGGTTCGATAGTTAGATTCTTGCCAGCAATTACAAACGACTGTGCTTTAGCATCGTAAATCCTGAGAATTTTCCAAACACCGGTTTTGCGTTTCAGTAACCGAAGCCTCGCTTATTTTGTGTTTGGCAAAAGGGAGGCAATCGTAGTGTTCTGGTCGGAGATGGACATCTGAGAATAATTTAACCGTTTTATGTAGCGTTGAACGGTATTGCGAACTGGACCCCCTTTGTCTAGTGCCTGGCGCGCTAGCAATGTATCTTCATCTGTACAACAAAAACAAGCATGTATTGTAGGATGATGGTTGGTATAATACACAATATAACTACATGTAACTACGGAGTATTCCAGATAAATACGTATGTTGTTGCTTCATAGATGCGCCAATCCTGGGCTAACCGTTAATACAACTACGCACATCTATGGATAAGTATAGATTTGGGGGGAAACGGAAATTGATGGTGTAGAACATAACAAATACATGCGTCTAGGTTTTCCAATTCTTCTACCGCCGCTCGTTTTGATTTCC